TAGTACTCCCGAAGAAGGAGCATCATTATTTGTTTCGAAATTTTTACTTATTAAACATATTTCCTCCGAACCTGTCTTTTTGAAGTGAATAATGTTTACTAGAGTTTCGCTGCTTTTTATTCTTTTCATTCGTGCATATCTGTTTCTTGCTGATGGTTGAAGTAGGATCTGATTTAATTCTGTTGTAGCCGCAAACTTTCGCTGTTCAATTTTCACGAACCCGCTAGAGATACAAAATATTTTTCTTCTAATTTGTGTGTGGAATAATTTCTTACACGTTTCACTATTTTCTCCTCATTTTAATGATCCAAGACCGCGTATTACGCTCCTGTGTTGGGATCATATTGTAAAGAGGAAAAACTCTTCTGGTTCCTCTGGTTCCAACTGTTGGAACAGCTGCGAACGACATAAAGAACTTCTATCGTCATCCATCTATAACTCTGTAGGATACCCATCAGGCAGAAGCCGAAACGTCGATGTTGATCATTCTTTGGGTTGTGTACGAATAAACCGTGTATTAGGCTGTTCTCGCCATTCAAAAAAAGCACCAAATATTTTCATCGCCATCATCGAAAGGGAACTTGCAATAAAGTAAATCAGTTTATAATACTACCCAAAGAGTAGGCAACCGATTTTTGCAGGTTTTCCTTTCCATTTTCTGCTCACCGTTTTTATTGTGTTTGATCAGCGGGATGGCAGAGAGAGTCAATATTTTGTCGCTCTACATAATTCACCGAGCAAAAGGAGCGAAACGTGCCGCTGACCCAGCAAATTCGGAAGGAAAATAACAGAAAAAGTGCTCTAATGAGGTATCGCCTTAAGAATCTGACGCTGTATCCTTTGTCGAAACGTAATGTGTGCCGCAGATGGTTGAAAAACCGTTTCCAATAAATTGCGGGCCATTTAAGCATAGTTTTTCATAAGTCCCAACGCTGTATAAAAGATCGAAAACGCAAGAACTTAAACAATAAAAAAAGTCGCTAAAAAACGAAGTGAGTTCGGTTCACGCAACAGTCGGGTTGTTGAACGTATCTTCATTTATATGGGCTGTTTAACGTGTATAGTTCTGTTCCAAAGTCTCTACAATAACAAACGAATATATCAGACAGATAGATCGCTTTTGCAATTCATCTTGATCTAAGCAGAGTTACTGAGTTAGTAAAAATCAGTTAATTTATATGGCTCCGAACCGAGTTTCAGTTTTATTGGCATAGATCTCGCTGAAAGGATACAAGAAATCTTTGAGTTCTGTAGTGGAGAAAAAGCATTACTAGAAAAACGATTCACTGCAATGAACGGGGAGCAGAAATGCACAGTTCAGCGCGAACCATGCAACAACAGAGGGGGGAGGGACAATTAAGGTTGAAGAGTAAGTGGAAAGCGGCAAAGTGTCGTAAAGGCAAAAGTTTTGTTTCTTAGTATCATCACTTGGAGCCGTTTGCATGAACAGACCATTTTTGGTTTATGATCTCTGCTGTGTTCGCAGTTTCAGTACATTTTTGTCATAAGTCGCAAAATATTACCTCGTACGAGGAACAGTACCTCTTAGAAAGCGGAGAGATATCTTTACCATTTTCCCATTTCGCATGCCGCCATATTTTGGCTCCCACACACAGACTGAAGTAAATGTTTTATGCTCTTCATTTCCCATCTACTGAGGTCACTTATGCCCAAAAAAGAGTCACTTCTTACGTAGTTTTGCTATTTAATCTTCATTTCAAAGCTGACCTAACTGAACCGTTGTTCGTGTTGCTTAACTTATAACAACTGCCTCAATTACGTACAGCAATTGTGCCCTGATGGAGGTATCATACGAGCAAATTACTGTAGTAAGAGTCATTCCTTTCTCTGTCCGGATATTGGGCAGGTTGGCGGTATCACTCGAGGAGGGGAGAATCCCCCTATTTAGCGCTGGCTCGATAATGTCATTGGCGGAGATTACAGAACCGAGTTACATAAATATCTCAACCTCCTGAGGCCCTTCCCTCCCTGTTCTTCTTGTATATCAGCTGTACCGGTGAAGTTCCGCATAACTTTTAACTTCTGGAAGTTATTAAAGATGAAAAACTTTTTTGTATGCTCGGAACTCTGCACGCATCATAGCTACTTTACGTAATGTCAGGTCGAAGAATCCTGAAAACGAAACATTTTGTCCGCTGCTGGTAAATGAAATCAGATGCTAACGCTGTTCAGATGAAAACTGCTTTGATTCCATGCAACATACCTAGGATTAAAGTCAACCTCATAGAAACCGAAATTTTTGTAGTCTCAAAAAATGTCGCTTTTAGCTTTCTGCAGTAGTGAAATTGAAGCATAGAGAGAGTTTCAAGTACTTCGCATTAGCACTTACGTTTGACGGTAGGAAGAACGCGAAATTACATATGCTAATTGATCAGGTAAGAGACATAAGACGCAGCAATAAACCGGTATATGGGAATAAAAAATGACTTGAGCAATTATGCGGTTATCCATCTTCTAGTTTGTATCCTTAAATGCAGTGATGAATACCGTAAATCATCTGAAAAGGTGTGATGAGGGATATAAATTGCGGAAGTGAAGTTTCCTTGCTTCATTGCCCGTGTAACGAGACTCGGTAAGGTTTGAAACACGAAACTTCGAAATTTTCGACAGTTGGAGACGCTCCATCGCGTATTTCATCAGAACGAGAAATCAGAACTTAGGCGGTTGAACAACGTGAAGCTGATGCAACAGGGGGAGATTCTCAGGACAGATTGGTGGCAATACCATGTGATAGGTGGCCTAAAAACATACCGAGGCCAAAATGACTGACCATGCAGGAGGTCTAGCATTTTCAGCCTGTGAATGCAGATCATTGAGGTTGGTCTGTTTGGCAGAGGCTTGGAAAATCTTCATCAACGGCCCGTTGTTTTCAAGTTTTAAGGAATAGCGTGTGAATGAATGAATGAATTAATAAATGAACTAGTAAGGAAAATAATGTATGAATGAAAGCGTGAATTAAAGAAGGAAGAGTTGAGTGCATTTCTGATTCCCTCATCATTGATGTTTAATGTCTGCTATGTCTTACGGTTTTGAAGTGTCAATCTCAGAACCTTTTTCCAATCTCCTGCGAAAGCGAGAAGCTCTTTGATCTCGATTTCAAGAGGCAACATTACAACTTAATGAACGAATGAATAAATGAATGCATAAATGAGTGCCGTCTCGAGATATTTCACTCGACTTGAATTGTCCTCAGAAGCATCGTCGGTATGCCTTTTTATGAAGCCAGCTCTTGCAATAGCAGCATCTTATGGTTTCGTTGGACAGCTACATTAAGGACCTGAAGGAGCAAGTCATGAAAGCTATTTGAAGGCGCTCATTGATGATTGTTTCGCATCTCGATCAGTCAGTGGGATTCTCAGGTAACTCCAAATAATTCAACTGTCATCAGGATATTTCACAGACAGATGAATGAACACAAAGTCGTATATCTTTTGTTATTAATTATGAACGACAGAAATAAAGGTTTTGATTTACGGCTAAGAACCTGCACGAACCTGGTGAATTTAGAATAAATGGCAGCAGGTATTAATGACCTCCTGATATATAAGCTTCCATATTAAAATAGTAATTTTATGAAAATTCATTGAATGTTGAGTCAGTTGACAGGACCAGTAGAGTAGAGGTTTCTCTGTAATCGAGAATATATGCAAAAACATTTCACACGATCTACAGTGTTACTTGCTAGCTATGATTAACGTCATTTAAGTAGCGGTAGGGCGCTGATAATGGAAGTATAATCTGGACAGTTATTTGGCATAAACCATCGTCCATTGAGAGGAGTGGCGCAATAAACATATATATCAGGGCAACGCTACTTTGATTGATTTCCTACGTCTCGACACTTAAGAAGAATAATGCTATCTATCAATTCGCTAGCTGATGCTCATTCCTCGAGATAAAGAATTTTCTGAAACCTTACAACTCGTCCGTCTGACCCATGCGTAAGCACCGTCGCTTGTTCAGTGGACTAGGGCATGGGAATGGAAATGTTCTGTCATATTTTCATGTAGACGGCGGTAAACTCCCTAACCGACTGCCTTTGCTTGAGTTCAAAATGTCCTTCTCCTAGGCAGATTTGCGTTAAATAAATAATGAAGTATGCTAACCTTGATTATTATTGCTTTATTAGTCTACCGTAACAACCACATAGGGTTGGAATGCCCTACAATTACCCATAACTACGATTTCTCATTGGGAACACAGTTTGTTCGTTAGGATGGAGGAACCGCGGCTGGATTTGGAATGAAAGACCTGAGCAGTAGCTGTACGAAAAAGTTATAAAAAGAAAATGTCACACTGGACTTCAGAGTTAGGTTCAGCATTCGTATGCGGTCCAGTGACCTGAAACTTTCTAACAACGCCGTATGCTCGGTCTTCCTCGGACCGTTCTCATTAATTTCTTATGTTTTTCCGTCAAAATTCGCTTGGAGACAAATCGAACTCGGCTGAACTGTTCCCCTACTGAATTGATTTATCGATCAGCGAAGCCGTTCATTTTCCTCTTTCCATTTCAGCTGTAAACAGGCTATTTTCGTCATTTTCATTTCTACAAGACCGGACAGAGCACCGGTTTGTTCTTTTCATACAGGAGGGGGTGAGGAACGCAGTAGAGGATGACAGTGCAGGGAACGACCAGATTCTATCGATCCAATCGGTACCCAGTTTTCGTTTTCCAAGAAATCGGCAGGGGGTTGATAAGTGTGAAACGAGAGTTGTGTACACTGTGAAAACAACCTGAACATCTTCTGGTGCAGCGCTCCTTTTCCATTGATATCTTGTTTTCCACAAGACCGGGATTTCTAAAAATCCGTGAAATGGCCGGCCTCGATGTTCGTTGCAAACTCGCCAATGCGACTGGGGCTCCCTCGCTCAAAAATAGCTTTAGCGCGTCTTCGATGAATAGGCGTCGGGCAACTGCGCGGGGGCGAGCGGAGGCGAGG